TGCTCGTTTCTTCTTCCTTTCTCCCCTCCCGAAAGAGGATGCTTCTTGGAATGGCTAAGGGACCAAATACGCAAGGATTTGTCCAGGTGGGCAGCAGGAATCTAGGGTGGCACTAAAGGAAACAAACAAAAACAAACAGAAGTTGTATTCACACAACAGCCTTAATCTGGTTCTAGGTCTGTCGAGATTCTCAGTCGTCCAGGTGATGGTTGTCCCAAAGGTACTTTATATTTTCAAGAGGCAACTGGACTTCCTTGTTTTTTCCTTTTGAAGACGTTTCTCATCCAAGAAGCTTCTTCAGCTCTGGCAGGAGAGTGGGGAATGGGAGGATTTGTATTCCTTGCAGGCAGCTGGTCATTTGCATCCTTTTAGAGGGTCGTTGAAGCACTTGGAGGTTTGTCTGTGACCTCAGGGTCACCTGAGTGGTGCTCCTGGTTCCTGTAGTCTGCAATTATTTCCCTCTGCAAATACATTCCTACTCCCACACCACTCAAAGGATATTCATCCCAAATTGCCTAGCTAAAAGTCTGTCGAGATTCTCAGTCATCCAGGTCATGGTTGTCCCAAAGGTGCTTTTTCAGGAGGCAACTGGACTTCCTTGGTTTTTTTCTTTTGAAGACGTTTCGCTTCTCATCCAAGAAGCTTCTTCAGCTCTGATTGGATGGTGGGGAATGGAAGGATTTGTATTTCTTGTAGGAAGCTGGTCATTTGCATTCTTTTTAGAGGGTCGTTGAAGCACTTGGAGGTTTATCTGTGTCCTCAGGGTCACCTGAGTGGAATGGATTTCCAGAGGAAAAATTGCAGACTACAGAAACCAGGAGCACAACTCAGGTGACCCTGAGGATACAGATAAACCTCCCAAGTGGCCTCAATGGCTCTCTAAAAGGATGCAAATGACCAGCTGCCTACAAGGAATATTAATCCTTCCTTCCCCCATCATCCAGTCAGAGCTGAAGAAGCTTCTTGGATGAGAAGCAAAATGTCTTTAAAGAAAAACAGGGAACTCCAGTTGCCTCTTGAGAAAGCACTTTTGGGACTGGTTCTAGGTTGTTCTAAGTGTAAAGCATCAAGCGAACCCAAGAGGATGGCTTTGCACCATGGCCCCAAAGCAAATCGGAATCCAACCAAGGTTACCACGTCGTGTGAACATCCTAGCTGAGCGCATTTGCGTGAACATAGGTGCCTTTATCACGTAGACCCTCCTCCTCCTCCTCCTCCTCCTCCTTCTTTTGCTTCTGCTTCTTCTGCTTCCTTCTCCTCTTCCTCCTTCCTCCTCCTCCTCCTCCTCCTCCTCCTTCTTCTGCTTCTTCTTCGTCTCTGTGGGGGCACCAGTCCTTTGGAATGAGCTGCCCCTAGAGCTTTGTCTTAGCCCCGACCTGCGTACTTTTTGCCGTGCCCGAAAGACCTTCCTGTTTCAGCAAGTCGGACTGACCTAATATGAATTTTAAGTGAGTGTATGTGTTTTTTAATTTGAGGGCCAAATTGTATATATTTGTTTTAATTGGTTTTAAATTTTATAAATTCATGTGTTTTAATGTGGCTGTACACCGCCCTGAGTCCCCTCGGAGAAGGGCAGTATAGAAATCCAAAAAACTCCAAACTTCTTCTTCTTCCATCTCCTCTTCCTCCTACCCCTTTTTTCTTCTTCTTCTTCCTTCTCCTCTTCCTCCTACCCTGTTCTTCCTCTTCTTCTTCTTTTTCTTCTTCTTCTTCCTTCTCTTCCTCCTACCCCCTTTTTCTTCTTCTTCCTTCTCTTTTTCCTTCTCCTCCTCCTTCTTCTTCTCCCCCGAAAGAGGCGCTTTTAAATTTTTCACGAGCATGGCGATCTTCTAAAATAAACCCTGCCAAGGCAGCTAAAATTAGAAGCGTTTGATGGATCCAGCAATTATCCTCGGCTCTTCCAGCATCAAGGAAGACCATCTCTTATTGATCCATCCGGTCGGAGGTCGTGCAGGGCTGAAAGGTGTAGCGATGGTGGAATTTCAGCCTAATGATGAAGCCTTTCCAGGTCACAGTTAAAGAACTAGAAATCGGACGCTGGCTCAGATGTCCTGCTGTCATTAGTGGTAGGGATTTCCAGATCCAGAAGAAGTTAACTCAAGGGCTGCATTTCCCTGGGTTGGAGCTCTAAATGCACATTGAAAAGCACCAACTGAGAATGCGGCAAATGCAAAACGACCCCAATTGAGCCCAACGTTTCTGTCACTAAGCGAGGCATTGGTTAGGTGTGTCTCACCCCATTTTACCACCTTTGTTGCCACCATTGTTAAGCAAATCACCGCAGTTAAATTGGTCACACGCAGTGGTGAATTGTAAAATTTGTTACTACCAGTTCTGTGGGCAGGGCTTGGTCGGGGGAGTTAATGTCACTGAGTGGGCATGGCCAACTTTTTTTTTTAACTTTTAAAACCATTTTTTCTTCAACGAAGAGATTGTAGAAAAAATGCTTTTAAAAGCCTCTGACGATCCCAGCTGAGTTGCCTAATCGTCAGAGGGTTTTTTTTTTCTTTTAAAAACATTTTTTCTACAAGCTCTTCAGCTGAAGAAGTTGTAGAAAAAAATGCTTTTAAAAGCCTCTGACGATCCCAGCTGAGCCGCGCAATCATCAGAGGCTTTTTTTTTTACTTTTAAAAGCATTTTTTCAGCCGAAGAGGTTGTAGAAAAAATGCTTTTAAATTTTTTTAAAAAAAACCTCTGATGATCGCTCGGCTTGGCTGGGTGTGGGGAGTGGCAGGGATTTTTGCTACCGGTTCTCCGAACCACCCGCCGCCATCTCTACCAGAGCATTTCACCCCTGGGCACACGGCTGTTAAGTGAATCTGGTTTCCCCATTGACTTTTGCTCATCTGAAGGTCGTAAAAGGGGATCATGAAAACCCAGGACAAGATTAACAGAGTTGGAAGGAACCTTGTAGGTCATCTAGTCCAACCCCCCCCCCCCCCCCCCCCACCCAAAAATATAACCCCTTTGATCACGTGACCATGGGGTTTCTCCAATGGTCGTAAGTGTGAAAAATGGTCATAGGTCACTTTTTTCCAGTGCCTTGTAGCTTTAAATGGCCACTAAACGGACTGTTGTAAATCGAGGATTACCTGTAGTGGTAGGAATTTCCAGATCCAGTAGATCTGTACCTGAAGGCTTTAGTAAGGTCTTCTAGACCAACCCCCTGCTCAGGCAGGAAACCCTGTACCATTTCAGAGAGATGGTTGTCCAATCTCTTCTTAAAAACTTCGAGTGTTGGGAGCATCCACAACATCTGGAGGCAAGTTGTTCCACTGATTAATTGTTCTCACTGTCAGGAAATTTCTTCTTAATTCCAGGTTGCTTCTCTCCTTGATTAGTTTCCACCCATTGCTTCTTGTCCTGCCTTCTGGGGCTTTGGAGAATAGCTTGACTCCCTCTTCTTTGGGGCAGCCCCTCAAATATTGGAAGACTGCTATCATGTCATCCCTAGTCCTTCTTTTCATTAACTTGGTCATCTGCCTACCCTTGGCTAAAAATATAGGCATTTTTGGATCCAAAGCAAGACAAATGCAGTTGGATCTGATGTGAAATAGTATTTCCTAGTTTCACCAAACATCAAAGGATCTTTTGCCTGCAGATGGACGGAAAGGATTATACATTAATAAAGATTCCATCTTCTCTGCTGGGCATTTCTAGATAACGCCAGGAAAGTTTTCTTTAAAATCCTGGAAAGCTTCGGCCAGAAATTTAAATGAGTATTTAAATTACTGACTCGAGTAATTAAATTTAAATTAAATCAGTACGCTTAAATTTACTGACTGAATTCAGTAAGAAATACTGATTACTGGGCGAGTCGGTGATTTAGTTTTAATGTTCCTTTTCGGGAATATATTCTCAGTCTATATTGCTTTCCATAAAAGTTGGGAAACTCTTTTAAACAAATGCTGCTTTTCCTCTCCAACCTCCTCCCCCACACACCCCTTCCAACAAATGGTAATTACATTTTAACCTGCCCAGGGTTTTTATGCATTTTGCCCATCCGAATGTGAACGCTGTCCCCAAAACTGTAATCTTGCAGTCAGCGTGGAGAAAAAATTGTCTAGACATCTCTGAATATGAAATTTTTTTTAGGTGGCCAAGGAATTGCTACTGAATGTTTATCCCACGCTTGTAAAATTAGAGAGTCATCCAGTCTCTTCTGGGTGGCAGAAGGTGTCTCATCAAAAACAGGCTGTCTATCGAAAAGAGATTATTTCTTTGCATCCAGTCGGGACTTGTTCTGTGGAAGAAGGCTCTAAATTTCAAGATTTCAAGGAGAGGCTGGACTGCCATCTGTCAGAAATGGTGTAGGGTCTCCTGCTTGGGCAGGGGGTTGGACTGGATGACCTACAGGGTCCCTTCCAACTCTGTTAATCAAAACATTTCTTTATGCCTGAAGCTTGAATCCCTACTACAGGTCTCCTGCGTGAACAGAGGGTTGGACTAGATGACCTCCAAGGTCCCTTCCAACTCTGTTACTGTTTATTCCCCATGGCCCCTAAAGACAGGACAAATTTAATGGAAATTTACCAAGATAGACCTCCAACCTCTAAAACTTAAGAAAAAAATTCCTGACGGTGAGAACAATCAGTGGAACGGCTTGCATTCAGCAATTGTGAGGCTTTAAGAAGAGGTGAACAGCCATTTGTCTGGAATGGTCTTCTGCTTGAGCAGGGGGTTGGACTAGAAGACCTCCAAGATCCCTTCCAGCCCTGTAAAATTCGATAATAAGAATTAGAAGCAAAGTAGAACAAAGAAGAGAGTTTTCCAGCATGTGGCACTCAACAACTTCAGACTGATAACCTGTAGCAAATTACTTCCAATTCTCAAAATGGGTATGGGAGGATATTTTCTTTTTACAGACTGAAATTGCTTGCTTGCCGAAAAGCTATTTATCATATCAGGATGCGTGTTGATCTTCCAGGATTTCCCTAGGTGACTTGCCACCCCCAGATTCCTAGAAACCCCACCCTAACTCTTGGCTGCCTTCCTTTCAGACGGTCAGTAATATCCCCTGCGCTCTGTTGACCGGTATCCGGACATTACCAGTCCTAGAAGCCAAGGTGCCCGAAAGGCCTACAAGCAAATGCAGAGATCTGCCCAGAGAGGAAGAGAAAGAGAAGAAGAAGAAGAAACACAAGAAACGATCCCGATCGCGGTCCCATACCCCTCCTTCGAAATATCACTCCTCTTCTTCCTCCAAAGCCAAATCGCGATCCCATTCGAAAGCAAAGCATTCGCTTCCCACGGCCTACAGAACCGTCCGGCATTCCAGGTGAGCGTTTTTTTTTCTAACTCTTGAAATGCTTAAAAAGTTTTCAGTATCCTGCAGGTCTCATCATCATACCCTGTCTCTTTTTCCGGGTATCGCTTGATATTTTTAGCCATTCCGCGTTCAGCCACGCGAGGCGTTTTCTAAAAGTGACACGTTTAGAACAAGGAAAGCTTTCATTTTCTTCGGTGCGTCTGCCAGGGGTTGCCCCCACTCCCTCCCAAAATAAGTGGCAGATTGCTGACGCCAATTAAGGGTGCAGACAGCTTCTTGTCAGTTGCCAGGGGCAAAAAAGATGTCATTTTTATCAACGTTGCCAAAGTCACCGCATCGCTTGACATGGAACGTCAGATGGTTCCCACACCCGCTTCACGCCTCCTTTAGGATACGAGAATAAGGTATGTAGTTGGGGAGAAGTTGATTGAAACGAGAGGAGGCTCTTGTCAAGCTTTTAGAAAATCCACAATGAAGGTTTTTCAAAAGCTAAAGTTTTGGAGAATTTAAAAAGAAAAAAAAAACAGAAGGGGCGCAGTAAACGTGTTGGCATGTGTATTTTAGGAAAATGCAAATAAATTTAAACACATCATTTAAGTTGAGGAGATGGGAATAGGAAACTTTTTTTTTTTTTGACAGCTAGCCCCCCTCTAAAAATGTCAAATCTTGTACGTTCTTGTTAAAAAATCATATGGCTCCTTCCACCCCGTGTCTCTTCCATTACTGTCCCGAGTTCCCCCCAGAGCAGAGCCTTGGAGACATAAAGAGGTTTCTGCCTAATTGAATCTGAGGATTAAATTAGTGTTGTTGTTTTTTTAAAAGATTGGAAGGGATATCTGACAACCTTCGTACGTGCCACCGTTCGCCTCATAACAGAGGGAAACGCAGTAGGGAAATCAACGCTTTCGTTTTTTAACAGTTTCCCATCTTAAGGGAAGGCGCTATTTCACCGGGAAAGCAGGCCCTTTCTCTGCAGAAAATCTCAGCTTGGATCCTCGGATGAAAGAGACAATGCAAATGAGGGAAGGAAGAGACTTCTGTTCCAAGCCCTTCTCCATCCCTGGGCTAGAAAAGAGAGACGTTAAGACCTTGGCTAAGGGGAATTCCTACTTAGCGGCACAGAGAGGCTTTAGATGGCTTTTGACAGGATAACATTCCTCTGAAAATGGCTTCAGATGTACTGTGGGGTTTTGACAAGCCCTTCAACGTCTCCACTGCAAATTTTTCAAGATCCAGGCTCCCATCACGATAAACCAATTTATATTATTTTGATGACTTCTTCCCCCGTGTTAACCACAAGTTCCTTGACCCAAGAACTGTCAGGTCAGAGCTATATAGGAAGGGAGAGAGGGAAGGCAGAATGTCCGGCGAGACCGAATTTTGTACGCTCTTGGTTTCACTAAGTAGAGCTGGGCAGGGACTTGAAGGTAGCTTGATGGGTAAACAAGAGGGTGATGCATCTTCTCCCAGGTGTATCTTCAGACTTCTTCAGGAATTGAGCATTAGTCTGATCTATAAATCGGCCCCTGAAGTATTGTCCATTCTATAAGCCGGGCTAGGCTAAGAAGCCAGTGCGGTTTACGTCAGGACTACTTTTGTTGTAAAGAATCTTGCGAGTCTGAAAATGATAGAGTCGATTTACACCATGCAGGTGAGGCCATCCTTGGAATACTGCATCCAATTCTGGTCACCACAACGCCAAAAAAGATGCTCCTAGAACAGGGGTCAGCAACCCGCAGCTCTGGAGCCGCATGTGGCTCTTTCATCCCTCTGCTGCGGCTCCCTGTTGCTGGTCGGCTCCACAATTGATAAGGCTTTCGGTTAGGACAGGTAGAGGAAAAAGGACGCCGTGCTAGGAGTAGACTCTATGGTGGGGGACCGGACTTCCGGTCGGCTCCAGAATTGAACGGGGGCTTCCGGTTAGGACCTTTGTGGCTCTTTGAGTGTTTAAGGTTGCCGACCCCTGTCCTAGAAAGAGTGCAGCGAAGAGCAACAAAGATGATTAGGGGGCTGGAGGCTCAATTGTATGAGGAGCGGTTGTGGGAGCTAGGTATCAAAAGAGAAGGATTGGGGGGGACAGGATAACTCTCTTCCAGTACTTGAGGGGCCATCACAAAGAGGAGAGGATTGACTTATTCTCTAAGGCACCAGAGAGCAGGAGAAGAAGTAACGGGTGAAAAAGATCATTAAAGGGAGAATCAACCTAGAAATAAGGAGAAATTTTTTAACAGTGAGAACAATTAATCAAGGGAACAGCTTCGCTCCTGAATTTGTGGGTGCTCCATCATTGGGGGTACCAAAATAGACTGGACGTTTGACTAGGGTGGTATAAGGCTTCCTGCCTGAAGGGTTGGACTAGAAGACCTCCAAAGTCCCTTCCAGCCATATGATTCTTCTTCTCCCACCCCCACCCTCCAGCCCAGTCTATCTTTTTTTAAAAAAAAAAAAATTATTATAAATTAGAAACAAAAAACAGAAAAAAGATTATAACGAAACACAATCACATACATACGACTGAGGTTGATTCAACCCCCATATATATACAGTTTCTAAATAACATTACATATCATCATACTACAGCTTCAATTTGGTTTATCATACTGCATCTTGCATTTGTTAATCTTCTTATATCTAATATTACCTTATTTATATTTAGCTTGCTATTTACATATCTATGCTACATGCTTCCCTAACATCTACCTCATGACATTTTTACTTCTATCCATTGGTACCATTTATCCCAGCTTTGATTGAAAGTTGATTCTTGTCTATCTTTAAGAATATATGTCGATCTATCACATTCTGCACACCACAAAATTTTGTTGATAATCATCTGATCCGATGGTACTTCTTTCCCTTTCCAAAGCTGCGCATATGCAATTCTAGCCACAGTGGTAATGTGTATGAAAAGGTACCAGTCTGCTTTCCTTATTCCCCCCAGGGTTTATTCCTAACCAGTAGACCTCTGGTCTCAGTTGAAAGCTGACTCCTGTAATCTCCATGAGCCAAACTTTTATCTTACTCCAATAATTTTGGGCTTGTAGACATGTCCACCATTGGTGGTAGAATGTACCCCTGGCTGACCCACATTTCCAACATTCTGCTGAGGTTCCAGGGAACATCTTTGCGATTCTTGCTAGATATACCGGCCCAGTCTATCTTAACGTGAACTAGAGAGCTTGCCTGAGAAGTTTGCTCGGATTACAGTTCTGTCCCAGACTCAAATTTCTTTCTTCTGACTGTTGTCTTGGTCGCATGTTTTCCTTCTGTCCTTCAGGCCCCGTTTGCTATGCTCTCTACAAATTTTCTAAGGATTAACGTTCTTTTTCCTCCCGCGGAAATGTTTCACTGCAAAACTTTCTTCTGGGCTGCCGATCTGAATTAGAGGCTGATGGAGAATGGCTCGGCCTCAGAAATATACCGATCAGGTTTCGTTCTGTTTCCTTCATGTGTTAAAACAGGGGGAGCCCCCAATCCCCAGACTGAAGGGCCACTATCGGACTGTAGCCTGTTCGAAACAGGGCTGCAGGAGGGGTGGGCAAGCATGCACATGCGAAGTTCCACTTGCGCAAGTAGAGAGTACTTGTGCTCACGAGCGAATCTCCATGCGCAGCCCACACAAATGGAGCTGTGCGTGCGCCCGACACACACACACTTGCCAGGCCAGGCCGCCAAGCTGAAAAGGTTGGGGACCCCTTCTTTAAAACTCACATATTTCTTTGCTAGAATATTAAAATTCCGATTATTGTTCCTTTTGTAGTAGAAGAAAAAAAAAACACCACAGATTAACGCCTAACCCAGTTCTTTGTCCTTATTAGCTTTCTAGTCTCACATTTCCCATCACCTGATAGCTCGTAGGAGAGCTGTTTTAGCTCATTTGTACATTCAGGTCACCTTTTGCTCATCTGAGTTCAGATCCCGATCTCGTGAAATTTCCCACGAGGTCTTCGGATCCCGGGTTAAATGGCGACCCAGTGAAAGGATCAGCAGGGCAGTACTTTAGCAGCTGGGCAAAGTCTATCTTTGAAGGGCTTCCGAGATGCTTTTAATTGAGAGGTTTTCTAATTTCACAGTGTAACGTGAGTAAAATGTCCTTCAAGGCCGGATCGGCGCCAAACCATTAACATAGAGGCATCTGGGTTTTTTATTTTCTCCGCAAAAGCATGGAGTTGGTCTGCTTATTGCCGTCTGTTTTTTTTTCCAACTTGCCAATCTGTATCTTCAACCTCTGGCCTTGCTTTGCTTAAACTCCTCACCCTGCCGCGGTCATCTACAAATGTCACACCTGTGAACCATAATAACTGCCAAACGGAGTCGATACGAATTCATTCTTTTTTTTCTTTTCTTTTTTTAACTTTCTGCAAAAGTACAGCATTGCAGATTGGAAGGGAGGAGGAAGAAATACAATTAGACGGCAAGTGATCCAGTGGTTTTTGTTCTGACCTAGGCTTCCTTGGAAAGGATACAGCACAATCTTAGTCCCGGCAAACCTCTTTAATTCATACGGCTGTGAATTATTGTCATTCCCAGTCTGAAAGGCTTCTCAAACAGTCTTTCAGGGGAGTGTTTATAAACACCCACCTTATCTCCCTTGGAATGCTGCCAGAGAACTAATTGCCACACGCAAGGCAAGGCCAAACTTAGCACAGAGTCAAACAGAACTTTCCCAAAGCTTTTCCCGACCAGATGAACTAATTGCTTCCTGCAAAAGCTCACGTCCCATTCACTCTCCTTTTATGTTTTATGGGAGGGGCCAATCATCTCCAAGCCTTACTCCCAAGTCGACCCTTTTTTCTTAATTGTTCTTGCCTTCTAGCAGCTCTCTGCATGCACACACTGGGAACAGGCTCCCGTTGTTCTTCTGCCTCACTGACGTCAGACTCCGGAGGCAGCAAAGAACTATCAGATGGCCTTGGCCCCCTCTCTGCCTCCCACGCAGAGCCCTCATCAGAGCCTTCCCCAGACTCCAGGACAGGCCCACGTTCCTCCCCAACCTCCTCACTGTCCAAATCTGCTGCCAGCTCTGCAACAAATTTTACAACTGAAATCCTCAACCTGGAAAGTCCCAATTATATATATTTTTTTAAAAAAACTCCCCAAAAATGAATCTTAAGGGAATCATGTATCTCTGCATGCTTTGTTCTGCTTCGGGTAGAAGAAATAGATCGGACAAATTGCCTGCCTGCATTTCATTTAAAGGCTAAATTTTATTTGGCATGAATTGCTTTTCTGGGTATAACTTTCTAAGAGGTTACGTGCTAAGCCACCTACTCTGTTTACCCAGCTAATGATCTGTATGTAGTAATTAGCAAGGGAAGGCATCATTAAAGTATTTAGCGTGTAAGAGGATTTGATTGGCATTAAGCAAACTTCGCTTGTTCATAGCCTTCCGTTTTCAAAGAGTCAGTAATGTTAATTCTCAAAATGTGTGGGGAGTGGGTGTTTCCTTGATGAGAGAGGCCAAAATAAAGACTTCAAAATCAGTTTTTTTCTCCCGGGCAAAGTCATTCAGATGCTGCTCCTTAAGAACGGGAAGGGATTAGCAATTTGAACGAATCTGAAGTCCTTACAAATAGTCATAATCTCAAACAACAATCCACACTTTTCCTTCAAATATACATATATATATAAGCAGGTTCTGACGGGTTCTGGAGAACCGGTAGTGGAAATTTTGAGTAGTTCGGAGAACCAGCAAATGCCACCTCTGGCTGGCCCCAGAGTGGGGTGGGAATGGGGATTTTGCAGTATTCTTCCCCCCCAGGAGTCGGGTGGGAATGGAGATTTTGCAATATCCTTCCCCCAGGAGGGGAGTGGAAATGGAGATTTTGCAATATCCTTCCCCCAGGAGTGGGGACGGAATGGGGATTTTGCAATAGCCTTCCCCCAGGAATGGGGTGGGAATGAAGATTTTGCAGTATCCTTCCCCTGCCACGCCCACTAAGCCATGCCCACAGAACCATTTTAAAAAGTAGTTTAAAATGTTGAATTTCACCACTGATAATAAGCCCACGTATGAATGGCAGTAACCTTTCTGCATTTAGCACAGTGTTTTTTTTGTTTTTGTTTTTTTTTTAAATAGCCCACTCTGCATCCGGAAAAATACACGTGATATTTACCAGTATTCAAAGCTAATGCCATTTATTTAATATTGTCTGAATACTGGAGGTTTTTAGGAATGTTAGTCATTGCTATGCAAATCTCAGAAGCTAAGGCGGTCTGATATTAAGCGGCTTAAAAAGAAAAAATCACTCCGCTTTCCCTCTGACAAGTTCTAAGCCCGTGATGTGGCACAGGTGGCACACGGAGCCATATTTGTGGGCACAGGAGCGTTGCCCTACCTCAGTCCAGCACGCACGTGCACGCTGGCCAGCTGATTTTCGGGCCTTCCAGGCCCACTGGAAGTCAGGAAATGGGCTGTTTCCGGGCCTCCGGAGAGCCTCCAGGGGAGTGGGGAAGGTTGTTTTCACCCTCCCCAGGCTCCTAGAAAAGCTCTGGAGCCTGGGGAGGGCAAAAAAAATGGTCCTACCAGGCCCACTGGGCTATCGCGTGCCAAAAGCGGGGGGAGAGCGGGGGGGGTCACGCACGCATGCATGGGGAGACGGGGCGCACTGAATTATGGGTGTAGGCACAGGCGTGCGCAATCCCCCCCCCCCACTACACCCACGTTTGGCACAAAGGTTAGCCATCCCTGTTCTAAGCTCTTTTCGGTGGGAAAGGCTGGGCTGAGGCCATCGTTTCATAAGCACACTTGGGGTTTTTTTGGTCAGTTCCCTGGGACAGGTTCCTTTCTTAAAGGAGGCTCTTTGCCTTGTCCCGCTGGCCGTACAAAATAGAATCGGCCCTCTTGGTTAACGTCGGTTCCAATATGATTTGTTTTGCATCTGGAGAGCACTTAATAATCTGCATCCTGTCTTTTTAAGCACTTAAAAGACAGAATTATTTGGTTTGGGATTTTAAAAACAGTAAGTCGTGGGGCGGGGGGAAGTGAGTGGATAAAGCATCTTCGGGGAGCTGACAACCACTCCCTCAGGCTGCGTGTCTGGTGGTCTTAATTTTCTTTCTTTCTTTCTTTCTTCTCTTTGTTTCTCTTTCCTTTCTTTCCATCTTTCTTCCTTTCTTTTTTCTTTTTATTCCCTTCCTTCCTTCCTCTTTCCTTCTTTTTCCATCTTTCTTTTTTCTCGCTTCCTTCCTTCCTCTTTCTTTCTTTCTTTCTTTCTTTCTTTCTTTTTCTTTCTCTTTCCTTCCTTCCTCTTTCCTTCCTTCCTCTTTCTTTTTCTTCTTTTCTCTTTTCTTTCTTTCCTTCTTTCCTTCCCCTTTTTTTTCTTTCTTTTCTTTGTTTCTCTTTACTTTCTTTCCATCTTTCTTTCTTTTTTCTTTTTATTCCCTTCCTTCCTTCCTCTCTTTCTTCCTTTCCTTCTTTTTTCCGTCTTTCTCTTTCTTTTTTCCCACTTCCTTCCTTCCTCTTTCTTTCTTTCCTTCTTTCTTTCTCTTTTCTCTTTCTCTTTCCTTCCTTCTTTCCTTCTTTCTTTCTCTTTCTTTTCTCTTTCCTTCCTTCCTTCCCCTTTCTTTGTTTCTTTCTTTCTTTTCTTTGTTTCTCTTTCCTTTTTTCCCCCTTCCTTCCATCCTTCCTCTTTCTTTCTTTCTTTCTTTCTTTCTTTCTTTCTTTCTTTCTTTCTTTCTTTCTTTCTTTCCAAAAGTATTTGCGGTGTAACAAACCCACATTTTCTCCTTTTAAATGGATTTGCTGGAATTTGTACTCCTCTTTGATAATCCTGGTGCCGTGCCCGTATCAAGAAACTTAAAAGATCCTCAAAATCCTTCTAGGCTGAACGTAATTTTCCCCTTTCGCCCATTCAGGTCTCGCTCAAGATCGCCGAGAAGACGGGCGCACACCCCTGAAAGGCATCGAGAAGAGCGGAGCGTCCCGACTGCCTATCGTGTGAGCAACAGCCCGGGCATCAGCAGAAGACGCACCCGTTCCAGGTACACAATTGTGCTCGCAGCACACCTGTGTTGCTCCAGAATGGGAACGCTGTGGCTTTCTTGATTTGCATGGCTTTGTCCAGCTCTTTACCTCACTTTCTCCATTCGCTTTCAAAATATAGCTTAGTCCTCGTTTAACGACCACAGTTGGAACTGGCAGCTGTTAAGTGAACCGGTCGCAAAGTGAAACCACGCCTACGATCTTCTGCATTCTTTCGGTTTACAGACCTGCGAAGGTCATAGGTGCGTGGCTCAGTCGCAGAGTTACTTTTTCATTGCTGTCACCGCTGCGAATGGTTGCTAAAGGAGGCATTCACTAAACAAGGATATGGTGTGTTTTTTTTAAAAAAAAAAAAAGTGGCCTGACATTCTTTGGGATGCCTTCTCCATCAATTTTACTAAAGAGGCTAGAAAAAAAAACTGTTATCTTTTTTCTGTAGGTTTTGTAGGCAATTCGCTTGACCCCTTTTCATTACACATGAGCAATGAAATTAGGTTGCGGCATTGAGACCCCGACTGCAAAGGGCATAAAACCGAGAGATTTATTTGGATTGTTATTATTATTATTATTTTGACATCCTTTCAGTAGACGCTTCTGGGCACGGATCCCAATTTGTTAATAATTGCAATTATAAACCAGCCAGAAAGCAAAAGAAGACAATGCTCATAAGACGAAGACACGAATCCAGGAGAGTGATATATCGAAAGTAGCAGGAGTGAGGTTGTGTGCGCCTTTTAGCATCTTTATGGCTCGAATTATTCTCTGATTTAGGAGGCTTTGGTTAGGAGGAATGCAAACAGCCCTGATCGAGAGGAAGCTTCCCAAGGAGGCCGATGTTTATTATGGTGCAAGGCAGTTCCATCCATCTCCATTGCCCGAGGTTTTAAAATATGCTCTGTGGGCTTTCCTGTGAATGCATGCTATCCTTACATCTTACCTTCTCTACCGAGAAATGCTCACCCGTTTACATCCATCATTCTAAAAGGGTAGCGCGATACGTGCTGGAGATCTTAACGCCTCTCCCTTCCGCCACAAGTTAAAAGTACAGATTAGAACAGTTCATTTAGTGACTGTTGAAAGTTAAACAACGGCACTGGAAAAAAAAATGACTTAGTTTTTCCACACTTACGACCGTTCCAGCATCTCCATGGTCACGTGATCAAAATTCGGACGCTTGGCAACTGGTTCATATTTATGACAGTTGCAGTGGCCCGGGGTCACGCGTTCCCCTTTTTTACGACCAAAGTGAATTCCACTTTACGGCCGCGTTCCTAACTTAACAACTTCAAGGGATTCGAAAAGAAAGAAAGCTGTGGAAAAGAAAGCTCGTAACACGCGGCAAAATTCACTTAACAACTGTCTCGCTTAGCAACAGAAACACTGGCGCTCAGTTCAGGCCGTAAGTCGAGGACTACCTGTGCTGATCTTATTTGCGTGTGCCTCGTTCTCAGTTTGCCTTTTTTCAATGAGCATTTAAAGCATCACCCAGGGAAATGCACCCCTTAAGACTATACCTGTACAGATTCTTATTAAGAATTGGGGATTCTTAATTAATTAAGATTTCTCATCTCATTGATTTGGCCCCTGGGAGAATCTGCACCTGTCCCTCAGGTAGAGCATCAACTCAACATCAGTGTCTCTAGGACAGCCTCCTTGTGGTTTCTCAGCCACTGGCCCATCCAGCAGCCAAATCAGAGGAGGAGGAGGAGGCATGGGAGTTAGGGTCAGCATCAAGGCAACCTGAGAGCTCCGAGGGGGAAGAGGGAATGGAGCTGTCAGAGAGAGAGAGAGAGAAAGAGGCGGAGCCTGGGCCGTCCATCAGCCCTCAGATATGGAGAGTCAACAGCCCCCAGGTCTGGAGGTGGCTGATGAGGAAGAGGAGGAACAGCTAGGTCCAGTGCCTGACGCACGGATGCGCAGAAGGCAGAGGAGAGGAGAGCAGTGGAAATCTATGGGCCGGTCCTTGGAACAGGAGAGCCACCGCTGCCAGCAAAGCTCCACCCTAACTGGGGATAAAAGGCAGGGGGCAGAGACAAATAGATGTGGCAGACAACTATTCATCTCCCTGCCGGGCAGACTTGTTAGCCTGTGGTGAGAGAGAAATTTTTTGCCGGGGGCTGCATGGGAGATGGGAGATAGATTCCTAATCAAGGAATCATTGATTTAAATACAGAAGGTTTGTCCTGTTTGGGGAGCTGGGTCAGAATACCTTGCAAGCTCGAAATATTCTTTGCCAGCTTGTAAATTCTGAGCATGCGACCCTGAAATGGGATGACGTGAACAGCACATCGGGCTTTGTTGTATTTGATGTGAGAAGAGTCAGATTTGAGCGATTATGATATATCAGCTGATCTCTATTTATCAAGACTTCTGCCCAAGGCTCTTTCAGTGCAGCCGAGTCAGAGCCGCCTTTGTCTGCGGAGGGCAAGGAGGTCCTGCCGTAAATTAAGCCGGGCTGAATTCCCACCCCACTTCCTCCCTCCCTCCCTCCCTATAATGAAAACTAATGAATTTTTCAGAATAACCCCAACAGATGCTGCAGTCGCATCCCGTACATGCATCGATCTGAGGACTTCACGTCCGTCCTGGTTTGGGGGGTTAGAAGCAGAGCCATTCTTCCTTTTCCTCAATCTCTTCCCTCCTTAGAATTGGTTTCCTTATTTATTTATTTATTTCTCCGATGTGTATCCCATCTTCATTTTTTTTGAAAGTGGGTGTAGCTATAGCAATAGCACTTAGACTTCTATACCGCTTCACAGAGCTCTGCAGCCCTCTCTAAGCGGTTTACAGAGTCAGCCTGTGGCCCCCAACAATCTGGGTCCTCATTTTACCCACCTCGGAAGGATGGAAGGTTGAGTCAGCCTGAAGGGAGGGAGGGAGGGAGGGATTAAGGAAAGGAAGGAAGGAAGGAAGGAAGGAAGGAAGGAAGGAAGGAAGGAAGGAAGGAAGGAAGGAAAATAACATTAGCAATAGCCCTTAGACATTTACAGCCCTCTCTAAGCGGTTTACAGAGTCAGCCTATGGTCCCCAACAATCTGGGTCCTCATTTTAGTGACCAACCTTCCTTAGTATGGAAGGCTGAGTCACCCTTGAGCCAGTCAGGATTGAACTGCAGACAGTGGGCAAAATTAGTCTACAATTAAGCATTCAGATGATGGATGATTGACAGAATAGACAGAGAGAGAGAGAGAAAAAACAGTGAAAGATAGAGAGAGAGACATAGATGGATAGCAGTAGCACTTAGACTTATATACCACTTCATAGTGCTTTACAGCCCTCTCTGAGCGGTTTACAGAGTCAGCCTCTTGCCCCCAACCATCTGGGTCCTCATTTTACCCATCTCGGAAGGATGGAAGGATGAGTCAACCTTGAGCCGGTCAGGATTGAAGTGCTAACAGGGGACAGGAAGGAAGGAAGGAAGGAAGGAAGGAAGGAAGGAAGGAAGGAAGGAAGGAAGGAAAATAACATTAGCAATAGCCCTTAGACATTTACAGCCCTCCCTAAGCGGTTTACAGAGTCAGCCTATGGTCCCCAACAATCTGGGTCCTCATTTTAGTGACCAACCTTCCTTAGTATGGAAGGCTGAGTCACCCTTGAGCCAGTCAGGATTGAACTGCAGACAGTGGGCAAAATTAGTCTACAATTAAGCATTCAGATGGATGGATGATTGACAGAATAGACAGAGAGAGAGAGAGAAAAAACAGTGAAAGATAGAGAGAGAGACATAGATGGATAGCAGTAGCACTTAGACTTATATACCACTTCATAGTGCTTTACAGCCCTCTCTGAGCGGTTTACAGAGTCAGCCTCTTGCCCCCAACCATCTGGGTCCTCATTTTACCCATCTCGGAAGGATGGAAGGATGAGTCAACCTTGAGCCGGTCAGGATTGAAGTGCTAACAGGGGACAGGAAGGAAGGAAGGAAGGAAGGAAGGAAGGAAGGAAGGAATAGCATTTAGATTTATATACCGCTTCACAGTGCTTTACAGCCCTCTCTGAGCGGTTTACAGAGTCAGTCTCTTGCCCCCAACAATCTGGGTCCTATAGGCAGTCCTTGCCTTATAACCATTTGTTCAATGACCTTTCGAAGTCACAACGACACTGGGAAGAGTGACTTGTGACCATTTTTTCATACATACGACAGTTGTAGCATCTTCCATGACCAGGCGGTCAAAATTCAGCCGCTTGGCAACTGGCTCATATTGCCGTATCCTGGAGTCTTGTGTTCCCCTTTTGCGACCTTCTGACAAGCAAAATCTGTGGGGAAGCCAGATTCACTTAGCGACCCTGTTCCTAACTTTTAACAACTGTGGTGATTCACTTAACAACCGGTGACCAGAAAGGTCGGGACAACGGGGCAGAATTCACTGAACTGGCTGTTTTGCTTAGCAACGGAAATTTGGGGCTCAGTTGCAGTCGTAAGTCGAGGACCACCAGTACTGTCCCTGCCCTTATTTTTCCTACCATCACCCCTGTGAGGTGGGCTGGGCAGAGAAAGGAGAGTGGTTGGCCCAAATTCACCCCGCCGGTTTCCATGCTTAGTTTCCCTGTTTCTCTTCCATCACCTTCACTATAGCCACCATCCAGAAGACAATTTGAGATGGGACATTAGTCGGTGTTCATAATTCTCCGATACCCAAAGAGATGGGGGCACAGGTGAAATGGTCCCAGTTTGGACCGGATCTCCTGATCCGGTAGCAATGGTGGCGGGTGGTTCGGAGAACCGGTAGCAAAAATCCCTGCGCCCCCTATGCCCAGCTGAGCTGCGCGATCATCAGAGGCTTTTTTAAAATTATTTTTAAAAGCATTTTTTCTACAACCTCTTCAGCCGAAAAAATGCTTTTAAAAGTTAAAAAAAAAAAAGCCTCTGATGATCATGCGGCTCAGCTGGGATCGTCAGAGGCTTTTAAAAGCATTTTTTCTACAACCTCTTCAGCCGAAGAGGTAGAAAAAATGCTTTTAAAAGCCTCTGGCGATCCCAGCTGAGTTGCCTGATTGGCAGAGGCTTTTAAAAGCATTTTTTTTTACAACCTCTTTGGCTGAAGAGGTTGTAGAAAAAATGCTTTTAAAAGAAAAAAAAGCCTCTGACGATCAGGGAACTCAGCTGGGATCATGAGAGGCTTTTAAAAGCATTTTTTCTACAACCTCTTCGGCTGAAGAGGTTGTAGAAAAAATGCTTTATTAAAAAAAAGTTGGCCACGCCCACCCAGTCACATTACCCCCCCCCCCCAAGCCACACCCACAGAACCGGTAGTAACAAATTTTACATTTCACCACTGGATGGGGGGAATGAAACTTGGTTCCTCTGAATTCAAACCGTGAGCTCTCTCGTTGAGCTACACTGTGAGCCCATAGCTTTGCCAACATCACTTACAGCCGTGATGCCGAACCTATGGCACGTGTGCTCAAAGTGGCACACGAAGCCATGTCACCCGGCACGCACGGCCTTGCCTGTTTGTCTTCCGGGTTTCTGGCGCCCATGCATGCGCGATGATCAGCTGTCCTTCATGCATTGTTGCAGTGCCGAAAACCGGTGCGCGCAGGCACACCAGCCAGCTGATTGTCAGGTGTGCATGGCCGCCAGAACCTGGAAGTTCGGCTTTTCTGGAGCACGATCCCTTCACACTCACAGCAGTGCCAAAAACCGGCCTGCACATGTGCGCCGGCCAGCTGATAGTCAGGCGTGCACATGCATGCTAGAACCCGGAAGTTTGGCTTTTCTGGAGCGCAGCCCCGACGAGCGCGTGCGTGCAGTTTCCATGCAACCTGTTGGTCACTCTGTGCCGAAAAGCTTCGCCAACACTGACTTAAAGTATGAAGTTGAAGGACACCAACCCATTCATGGTGGACCTGTGAAACGTTTTGCAGACCAAACTACTAAGAGGCATATTCTTTGCTAGAGGAAAAAAAGAAAGAAAGAAACGGGATTGAGTCAGATAAGAAGCATCACCTACTCTTTCCTCTGAAATTATGCTTTTTTTTTTTCCTCCTCCTTCAGCCAGCCGTGTACTTTCTCCCCTCCTCATATCTGAAGGCAGAGACTTGGAGATTAAGGACCAAGCTTTGCAGTTTGATAACAGAATTGGACCTTGTTTTGATTGGGGAGAAAATGTTCCCAGACACGAAGCTGGGTGTTATCTCAAGAGCTCAGCAGAATGCCGGGTGTTTTTAGCTTATCCCCTTGTTTCATTTCTGTAAGGAGATAGCTTTTCCGTAAAAACATCTCCATCTTTAACCACAGCAATTTTCAGTTGCAATGCCTGCTTGTGCTACCTGGTCAAAGTAGCCTCACGCAAGCTGGGAAGAAAGGAAGAAAACCGTTTACAGTGCAGATCCCCTGTAGTGCACATTAAGTCTCAGCTACATATTGGTGAGCTTTAAAAAAGATGATTTGTGCGAGAAAGAGTACGTTGGTGGCTGTACAGTATCCGTCTTGACCGTGGGCTCTCAGGATAGATTAGAAGTACAATGGGGGCCCTTTGTGCTCTCTGAGCCTGGTGCTTTTCTTGCAGGCGTTTTATCACCCAAACTAGGTAACGTCATCAGTGCTAGCACTGATGTGGGTCATGAAACGTCTGCAAGAAAACCACCAAGCTCAGAGAGCACCAAGGACTCCTTGTTTGTTTGTTTGTTTGTTTGTTTGTTTGTTTGTTTGTTTGTTTGTTTGTCAGATTTATATGCCGCCCTTCTCCCGTAGGACTCGGGGCAGCTCCCAACAATAAAACAACCCGACAATAGATAAAGATTAAATAATATTAAAAACCAATTTCAAATCCCCAAGTTAAAATCCACGGCAGATCAGGGAAGTTGCTGAAAGAGCCATGACTTTAGGTCGGCGCGGAAGGTGCGGAGGTCGGGGGCCGTCTGGAGCCCGGTGGGCAACCCATTCCAGAGGGTCAGTGCGACCACAGAGAACGCCCTCATCCTGGGGACCGCCAGCCGACACTGTCTGGCCGAGGGGACCCGGAGGAGGGCAGCCCCGTGTGAGCGCACTGGGCGGTGGGAGGCCAGTAGGAAGTGATCCTGCAAATACCCCGTAACTCAGCTCTGAGCTACAAATATTCTCCTTTATTGGAGGAAGTCTACAGCTGGACGGTAAGAGGAATATCTTTGATTCCTCTTTCATTCCTGACACAATTTTTGTTTTGTTTTTGTTCCCCCTCCCCCCCTTTTCCTCTGTTGCGATTGCTTGTTTTAGACCAGGGGTGTCAAATTCAAGGTCCAGGGCCTGGATCTGGCCTGCGGGGTGCTTAGATCCGGTCCATGGGGCCAGCCTGGAAACAGCAAAGGAATGGCCCATGGTGTCTCTGCCAGCAAAAACAGAGCTCACTCCCCCACGCCCTGTTTTCAGCCACGTGCCCCGCTCCCCTCCGAGCTCCGTTTTCACTGGCAGAGGGCTATCAAAACAAAAGGAGAAACATTTCCCCTTTTGCATTTGAGCATGCAAGAAGGGACAGGAAAGGAGAAAGAGAAAGAAGAAGATGGGAAGAGAGCAAGGACGGCAAAATAAGGAACGAGGGGAAGGAAAAAGAATGAAGGGGGAAAAAGGAAAGGAAAGGAAAAGAAGGAAGAGGAAGGAAGGAAGATTATAATGAGAGTGAGGGAGGGCCTCAGGGAAGTCCTGCCTTAGCACTTGGCCACCACAGGTGCCCCCAACACGAGTCCTGTCACATCAACCATGCCCCATCCCCCCGGCCCTCCGAGGTCAAACACAACTCTGATGCAGCCCTCAATGAAATCAAGTTCTACACCCCTGGTTTAGTCTAATGGGGCTGTGCTGTGTGTTCCTGTTTCCTTTTTTCAGAAGCCCACACGAAAAGAAGAAGAGGCGGACACACTCCCACCTCAAGTCCAAAGCGAGGTCCCACTCGCCTTCCGTCTCGCCGGGAAAACAACCCGCCCATAAGAATTCCAGTCACTCGGCCAGCATCTCTCCCGTGGAGAGTCGAGGATCCAGCCAAGAGCGTTCTGGGTAATGAGCCCCCAAGAGCCCCCATTCCGGCTGAGCGTATAAATAATCCAAACTGGGAAAGTAAATAATGGTAAAGCTGGGGGGGGGGGGGGGCGGGAGATGCTTGCTGATTCTCTGCCAAAAAATAAAATAAAATCCAAGCTCAGTTTCCTTTCTTCTCCAAACCTTTTGGGGGGTGGGGGGCGAACGCAGCGAGAAAGCGTTGAGCATGTTGGAATTGTAAATGCTCCAGCATCGCAAAAGGGGCGCGCTGCAGTTGTTTAGCTGGTTACCTGTTTGACTTGCCCTCATGAAAAATCGAAGAGGGGTTGAAGAGGGTTTATGTAGTTCGCTCCACACAGCTCTGTGGATGGGCTAGGCTGGTGGAGTTGAAAGGGCGAGGAAAACAGGCTGGGGTATTTTTTCCAACACTCTCCTGTTCAGAAAAGGGGAAAAGAAAACCCTGCTTACCTCCAGTGACATACCACCATTTTATGTGTGATGCTTCTGCTTGCAGAGGTGGGAGGGAGGGACGTAAAGAGGGAGGGAGGGAGAAATGGATGGAGATAGATAGGTAGACAGACATATATAGATAGAAAGGAGGGATGGACGGATGGATGGAATGGGAGATACAGACAGACGTATGGATAGAAAGGTTGGTTGGATAGATGGATGGAGATGGGAGATAGATGTATGGATAGAAAGGTTGAATGGATGGATGGACAGATGGAGATGGGAGATAGACAGACATGGATAGAAAGGTTGGTTGGATGGATGGACGGAAATGGGACATAAATAGATGTATAGATAGAATGGATGGATGAACGAACGGATGGAAATGGGAGATGAATAGACGTATGGATAGAAAGGTTGGTTGGATAGATGGATGGATGGATGGATGGATTGAGATGGGAGGTAGATGTAAGGATGGAAAGGTAGGTTGGTTGGATGGATGGACGGAGATGGGAGATAGACAGATGTATGGATAGAATGGATGGATGGATATTGGAGATAAATAGACAGACATGTATGGATAGAAAGATTGGGTGGGTGGGTGGGTGGGTGGATGGACGGAGATATAAAAGACAGGCTAAACCAGATTAGAGAGACAGACAGATAGGGAGATGTAGGTAGGGAGATGGATGGATAGATAGATGTTTTGTTATCCCTGACCAGCCTCTATTATCTCCAGTCCAATTTTGGGGATTGGAGATAATAATTTAAGATTCGACTGTGGCAAGATTCAGTTTCAGGAGCAACAAGGTTTCATCTCCACCAATTTGATTTGGAGAAAGGTTGGATCACAGGTCTCAGTAGGGAAGCGTCAGAATGCTTTTCAGCCTCTTCATTTGGGGGGGCAGAATGAATTAAAACAGTAAGGATGGTAGATCCTTTAGAGGATATTAACCAGGATATTAACCTTGCAGGTTTAATAATTGATAAATTATTGAAATATTCCCTTTAAAAAAAAAACTGGAAAGTTACCCAGGTATCAGGAAAAGATTTGGGTTGTGTGGTTAAAGACCGTGCCAGAGAGAGCAAACGAGATTGAAGAAGAGCATCAGAGTAAATCTGAATTTCTCTCTCCGTCTTAGCAACCTGCCTAACTGCATTCTATCAGCAGAGTGACATGCAAACTCCAGAGCAGCTCAAATCTCTCCTAGGCAGAGTTTGTGGAAGCCATCAAACCTCCCTGGCTATTCTTCCAGTGTCCAAGAACCCATTCAGCATCTCCCACCCACCACCCACCCACCCACCCATCTTTGTCCCTAGTTGGGGAAAAAAGTTCCAGCCATGTCTGAGACGACAAAACCACACAGAGATTGTCAAATTCTCTGGATCGCGTTGCAATCTCTCTGAAGTTATTTGAAGGCCTCTGACATCTCAAATCAATTTGAAGGTTCAGTGTGACTCGGATGATTCGACTGGCTCTCCGTGGAATCCCGATTTTCCCCTTTGAAGCTTTGCCTGGCTCGTCTCTCAGAGCTGCATTTTTAATTTTATTTTCTTACATTTCCGTGAGAACCCCAGAACGTTGGGGTATTTCTTCTTCTTCTTTATTTTGGGAGATGCTCCAGGGAATTGTTTTCCTGCCCCACCCCCAAAAAAAATAATCAGCATGGCTTCATGTGAGAAAACTGGTCATCGGCGAATGTTGCAGAAGCAGCTTAATTTTAATTATTAATTATATGGGAATATTTGTGGAGAGGCTGCAAGTTAAGGATGTACTACTGATGAGAATTTGCCGGGGGGGGGGAGGGATTCCATGCCTCGTGTCAGAGTCCAACCTAGACTTCCAAAGTGTTTCCTCTGATTATATATATATACCATACTGATGCACTTTTCCCCCCCTAAAAGAGGGTGGAGGTATTGATGCGTCTTATACACCGAATACAGCCATTTTTGGCCTCCCGAAACCCCACCCTGTGCGTCCCATTTTTGCCAAAAACCGTCCCATTTTTCGCAAAAACAGGGCCTGCAGAAGGTTTGGGAGGCCTACAGAGTGTTCCTGGGGGCTGGGGAGGGCAAAAACGCGACATGGGGGTTTGGGAAGCCAAAAACGGGGGTGTTTTATCCTTCCCCGGCCCCCAGGAGCACTCTGTAGGCCTCCCAAACACTCTGCGTGCCCTGTTTTTGAAAAAAATGGGCCCGTTTTTGGCCTCCCAAACCCGCCACACGTTGCGTTTTTGCCCTCCCCAGCCCCCAGGAGCACTCTACAGGCCTCTCAAACCCTCTGCACATCCTGTTTTTCACAAAAACGGACCTGTTTTTTGCAAAAACGGGACACGCCGAGAATTTGGGAGGCCTGCAGACTGCTCCTGGGGCCCGGGAAGGACACGAGCTTTTTTTTCTGGTTTACCTCTTCGAAATCTTGGTGCGTCTTATAGTCCGAAAAATATGGTATATATTTCCCACTGGTCTTACAAGTTGTTTAAAAGGCAAGCTAATCGCATTCGTTTCCTGAAAAAAGGCAGGATGCAAAAAAAACCTCCTTCCAGTCCTTTCCCTCCACCGTTCTTCTGTTTTTTTCGTGTTTAATTGCAATCGCTCAACTTAATTCAGGTATGTGTTTAATTACCTGTCCATTGATTATTATTTTTTTCCCTCCTTCTTCTCAAATATTTAGGGGAGTGCCTTTGGAAAAAGAGGGCCAGATCTCTTCTGCAATTGTGTCGTCTGTTCAGAGTAAAATCACTCAGGTAAAAAAAAACTTAAGCGTCTTCCGGATTTTCCAAGGCTTCGCGGTTACCACAGTTCTTGCTTGAGCGTCTTGTGGGGTGTTGGCATTTTGCACGTTGCAAAGGAGATGCCTAAAATCTTTTATGTTTCTGCTTTGTGAGAGGAGGGAGTTTTTCTTAGTTGTCTCTTTGTTGTGACAATATTTGTGATTTAACAGGCAGTTCTCCGCTCACAACCACAACACAAATTCTGTTGCTGGGTTCCAATAAGGAACAGGTCACCGCAGATAGAGAGGCATTCCAGCCTATATATTTGTTGTTTGGGGGCAGAATGAAAAAGGTAACAATTTTAAAAACTAGAGAAAGGAGGGAAAGATCAAATAAATATAAAAAGAAAAAGAAGAAAATAAGAGAAAGGGAAGAAAATATTAAGAAATGGAATTTTGGAGAGAGCAAAAGAAAATGGTTAAAAGGGGAAGAATAATTGGATAGTAGAAAGGGAATTAAAACATTTATTGGTTGATTTAAAGGAGAATGGTATTGGTAATAGAAATTGCATGTAAGAAGTAAATTAGAAATATATAGACCACGGTAAAATGGAATAATTAATTGAAATTAAGATAATAAAAGTGAAATGTTAGTAAATGATGTAAGTAAGAAACAAAAAAGAAGTATATTGTTTATTGTAAAATGGATTAGCAGACGCAATGTGAAAGATAGATTTTAAATGTGAAATAACTGAAATGGTGATATAAAATTGAAACGCTAGTAAACGGAAATAATTGATGTGAAAATAAGAAATTAGGAATGAAAGAAAATAAGAGGTGGAAGGTTAATTGAGTTAAAAGCTTTCATGGTAAAAATGGAATAAATTGAAACACATTGTTAATAATAAAAAAAATGGGATGGGGATTTTGAGAAATATATATAATATTTGAAGAAAAAATCGGGGTTGCCTGGACAACATAGAGGAAAATATTGAATTGAAAATGAATACAGCAATGGAGAGAGAATGGTAAGAAGGAGTAGAGGGATGGAAGGAGGGGAGAAGTGAGGAAGGAGAGAGAGAAATAGAAGAAAGGGAAAAGGAGAGGAAGAAAGGGAGGGGAAATAAGAGTAGGAGAGAAGGTTAGAAAGGGAGGAAGAAAGGAGGGGGAGAAAGGAAGGGGAAGTAAAGGAGGAGGAAAGAAGAAAGTAGGAAAGGATAAAAGAAGGGAGGGAAGGGAAAGAGAGAAGGAAAAGAAGGATTATTGTAAAACAAAAAAGATGAAATGGTAAAAGAGCTACCCTGAACATGTAAAAATTTATTAGGATGAAGAATGAATTAATACGAAAATGAAAAGAAAATACATATGATTAATAATGAAAAAATTAGAATTTAAGGGCGAAACAAGATGTTCTTTATACAATAAGCATAGAAGTATTAAGATAAGATAAAAAAGTATGGAAAAAAAGAAAAGAAATTCTGTTGCTGGGTTCCAATGAGGAACAGGTCACCGCGGATAGAGAGTCATTTCAGCTTATCTGTTTGTTGTTGTTAGTTGCGAAGCCGTGTCCGACCCATCGCGATCCCATGGACAACGTTCCTCCAGGCCTTCCTGTCCTCTACCATCCCCCGGAGTCCATTTAAGCTCACGCCGACTGCTTCAGTGACTCCATCCAGCCACCTCGTTCTCTGCTGTCCCCTTCTTCTTTTGCCCTCAAACGTTCCCAGCATGAGGCTCTTCTCCAGGGAGTCCTTCCTTCTCATTAGGTGGCCAAAAGATTTGAGTTTCTTCTTCAGGATCTGGCCTTCTAAAGAGCAGTCAGGGTTGATCTCCTCTAGGACTGACCGGTTGGATCGCCTTGCAGTCCAAGGGACTCGCAGGAGTCTTCTCCAGCACCAGAGTTCAAAGGCCTCGATTCTTTGGCGCTAAGCCTTCCTTATGGTCCAACTTTCATAGCCATACATACTGGAGACTAACGGCTTGCCCTCGGAGGGACCCCGGCTGACGTTACTATCCGCCAGGGGCCGTTCTGTAAGATTCCGCCTCGCAATGGTAATGAGATGGCAGCCGAGAAATCAGCAGGTCAGATCCTGGGTAGGTCAGGATGTCGACGCCGCAACCATCACCCGCGCTGCTCAAAGCTACTTCGAAGGAGTTGGTGATAGGTGTGGCGCCTCCTTCCAGCCGCGGCGTCTCTTGGGGATTGGACCCCTCAGGACACCATCAGTAATGGGCCAGGTTTTGTCCAGGGCGGGATTCGGAAAGGGATCCCATCCAAAATGGTACAGCGGGTTCCATCTGCCACAGGGGCTGGCGTCCCATTGGATCACCAGATGGGACCCAGTACCCAGTGTAGGCCAGGTACCAACAAAGAAGGAAGGAAGGAAGGAAGGATGGAAAATTCTGTTGCTAAGTAAAGCCATTGTTAAATGAATCACGGCTAGGTTTACACCCAAATTTTACTGAAGAATAGAATTATTTTCTGAGCTGAAAAAGATCATTGTAAAAATAATAAAGGCAGGATATGAATAAATAAAAATTTAAAAGGTGGTTAGGAATGAGTGGGTTTAGCCCCAGTCCCCAAACCAGTCCCAGATCCATCTTAATCTCCAGTTCTTTTACAGACAGAAACTTTTTTCTCTTCCCAACAATAACTTTCTTGGTTTTTTTCCCTGAAAAAGTGGCTGTTTACTTTTGAAAGAGCGAATTATAAAACAGTTGTCAAGCTTCATAAATATCAGACCTTGGAAAATGACCACCAGTTAAAAGATTCTTTTCTCACCAAAAAAAAGAAATGCAGAAAATAGGCTTTTATTTGCTTCCTTGTTTAGAAAACAGCCACAAGAAATGACGTGTTCTGATATCCTTTTCTGCATTACAAAAACATTGTATACATTTTAGCGACAGCCGTGGTTAAAATCTTGGATATCCTCCGGTTAGCTAAATTTTCCAGAGTGGCTGAACAGAAGCCAGCAATTTTGCAGCGTAGGCATGCCAAGGAAATATTTCCATGCATACTGAAACTGGCCATTTGAATTTTGGGAGCCAAAAATTTCTTGCTTCCTCTAGTTGCAAAAGATGGTCTGCTCAGCAGCAAAAGAAAAAAAAAACCTTCACGTAATTTGCTGAACCACATTTCTCTGCAAAATGTAGAGAGGTGGGCAAATCATGTCTTGCTACGTAATGCTGGTTAACTGCTTTGCACGATTATTTACAAAATAACAGAGCCCTTGGAGGTCATCTATCCCCAACCCCCTGCTTGAGCAGGCGACCCTAGGCCCGTGATGGCGAACCTATGGCGTGCGAGCCATATTGGTGGGCACGCGAGCGTTATCCCAGCTCAGCTATGGTGCGCATGCGCTAGCCAGCCAGCTAATTTTCAGGCCTTCTGGGCCCACCAGAAGTCGGGAAAAGGGCCGTTTCCAGCCTCTGGAGGGCCTCTGGGAGGGTGGGGAAGGCCGTTTTCATCCTCCCCAGGTTCCAAGAAAGCCTCTGGAGCCTGGGGAGGGCAAAAAACAGGCCTATGGGCTCACCATGCCATTGCGTGCCAAAAGCGGGAGGAGCGCAGGGGGATCGCGGGTGAATGCGCAGGAGGGCAGCGTGCATTGAATTACGGGTGTGGGTACACATGCGCGAGACTCCCCCATGCTTTTGGCTCGCGATGGCAAAAAGGTTAGCCATCACTGTCCTAGAGTCTAGACTATTTCAGACAAATGATCTGTCCAATTTCTTTAAAAAAAAATCCTCCAGTGTTGGAGCACCCAACAATTTCCGGAGGGAAGTCGTTGCCCTGATTAATTTTTCTCACTAGCCAGGAAATTTCTCCGTATTTCTACCGTGTCTCCCAAAATTAAGACATCCCCTGATGATAAAGCCAATTGGGCTTTTCAGCGCATGCGCTAAAATAAGACCTCCCCGAAAATATTTAAACGGATGCACAACGTGCATTTAAATGGAGACAGAGCTGGAAATCAGGTAAAACAGCAAGAGGAGCCTCGTCTTGTTCCATGCGCCCCAAAATAATAAGACCTCCCTGAAAATAAGGCCAAGCGCTTATTTTAGGGTTAAAAAATACATAAGACAAGGTCTTATTTTTGGGGAAACACAGTAGGTGGATTTCCCCTTGATAAATTCCCATCCACTGCTTCTTGTCCTGCCCTCAGGAGCTTTGGAGAATAGCTTGACTCCCTCTTCTTTGTGGCAGCCTCTCAGATATTGGAGCACTGCTATCTTGTCACCCCTGGTCCTTCTTTTCATTAAACTAGACATAACCCAATTCCTGCCATCGTTCTTTGCATGTTTTTATAAATAATGTTGACAGTATTTATTATAACCAGCCGTCTGCTATCGTAATATTCCTTTCTGCAGCAAACAAACCCCACATTTCTCATTCCCAAATTTTTAAGATGAGCACAGTGAGATTCAAGGATATAGCATTGGAAAGCGCATTGGCAGATTTGATGGAATTGTTCTGATCTGACAAAATTGTTCTGATCTGACAAAGAGTCCCTTGGGAGTTGGACGGCATAGAAATGCGACTAAATAAATAAATAAATAAATAAATTGTTCCCCTTTGGGGCAGTGTCTCTGAAGCCACAGCTCGCCCCTGGTCTGGAATTGCCCTAAAAAAAGACCGCTTTTGAGAAATGTCAAACCATCTCAAGCAATTAAATGAGACGGCTAACCAAACTTAGCTTACCTAAAATGTTCGTTCTCTCTCTCTCTCTCTCTCTCTCTCTCTCTCTCTCTCTGTCTCTCTCTCTCTCTCTCTGTCTCTCTCTCCCTCCCTCCCTCCCTCCCTCTGTCTCTCTCTCTCTTTTTTTTTTTGGCCTGCTGGTTATCCTTGACAGAATTTGTAAGCAGACTAGGAGCTACTTATACATCCAGTTTACATTTTGACATTGGGGGGGGAGGGCAGGGATTTTTGCTACCGGTTCTCCGAACCACCCGCCGCCATCGCTACCGGATCAGGCGATCCGGTCCGAACCGGGAGCATTTCACCCCTGGGGTATATTCACTTCTGTGACACAGTGTACATGCCGTTGGAAGAGATCCTCTGCCAACCTTCGGCAGACTGTTCGTTTGGTTAGTGTTGCTGTCTGACTTTGTTTTATGCTTCCTTTGTGTGCAGGATCTTATGGCCAAGGTGAGGGCGATGCTTGCAGCTTCTAAAAATATTTCAACCAGTGCCTCTTGAGACGGAAAGATGGAAGCTGTAGAAGGAACAGAAAGTCCTCGTTAACTGCGAGAAAGAGAATCTTCTTGCAACGCTGCTGAGTTGCAAAACTTCCGTGGCCGAAAAAAAAAACAGCCGTGGGAAAAGGGAGCCTTATAAATTATGTTCTGATTGGTTTCTCAGTTAGAATTTTACAACAAAGAGGTGCCTGTATATTTGTAAATACGAAATTCCGGCGAGTGTTACACAAATAAAAATGCAGAGAAATCCTTTTTATTAGCTAAAGGCTTTCTGGAGATTGGTTGGTTATTGTTTTTGTTTCTTTCTTTTTTTTTCCCCCTCCTTTTCTTTGTTTCAGATGACCTTATACTCGCATTTCAATCAGGATCCTCTAAAGCAGTGTGTATAAATTGAGTTTAGCAGAACAAAGCGAGGAAATGCTAATCAAAGCAACCCGGCAAAAGGAAGGGAAAAAAATTAGGCCGAAGGACTGACATTTATTGAGCTGTATAGATTTTGCTTGGAGAGAATAATGCAAAAGAGGTCGAAGGGAGCAGATTCCTAATATTCTGTAGGCTGTAATTGGAAACTGACTTGCAGGGTTTTATGGCCCCCAGTGAGAAAAAAAAACTAGTTATTTACTTGGTGACAACCATTCCAAGATTTGGAATAAGACTTCTTAATACCTTGCTGGAAGAAGAACTCAGGATCCTCCAGATATCCAGAGTCTGCCCATAAAGGTAAACCTCAATTTATTTGACTTTATCATAAAATAAGAGACAGATAGATCTAGATCTAGATCTAGATATATAGATATAGATATAAAGGGACACGGTGGCTCAGCGGCTAAGACGCTGAGCTTGTCGATCGAAAGGTTGGCAGTTCAGCGGTTCGAATCCCTAGTGCCGCGTAACGGGGTGAGCTCCCGTTCCTTGTCCCAACTTCTGCCAGTCTAGCAGTTCGAAAGCATGTTAAAAAATGCAAGTAGAAAAATAGGGACCCCCTTTGGTGGGAAGGGAACAGCGTTCCATGCGCCTTTGGCGTTTAGTCATGGCAGCCACATGACCACAGAGACGTCTTCGGACAGCGCTGGCTCTTTGGCTTTGAAACGGAGATGAGCACCGCCCCCTAGAGTCGGGAACCTTTACCTTTATATATATTTATTTGACTTTATCATAAAATAGGAGGCAGAAATATATATATACATACATACACACACACATACATATACCCTGTTTCCCTGAAAATAAGACATCCCCTGATAATAAGCCCAATTGGGCTTTTGAGCACATACACTAAAATAAGCCCCCCCCCTCCAAAAAAATAAGCCCTCCCGAAAATATTTAAACACATGTGCAGCCGGTCCCCGCCATTTCCTCTGGTTAAGGTTAGGGAGACAGAGGAAATCAGGTAAGACTCATCAGCTAGCCATACCCTTACTCGGATTCGAACTTGAGAGCTAAATAGCTTGAAATAGATCTATACTAGTCTCCCTTTATTTCTTTATCAGCAAATATAAATTTGGTACAAAATAGTTTGTCGTGAAAGCGACTGCCTGATGGCTCCTGGATTGGAGCTGAAAGGCGAAAGGGAAGCAGTATGCTCCCTCCCATATTGGGGTAGACCAGGTGCTTCGACAGAAAAAACAATACATATATATATATATATGTAGCCATGGAGTTGGCAGACTGTCTTTCTCTCACACACACAAACAAACTATTTATTTGGACTTCTAATTAAAAATATATTGGGCGCTTGGTGGATATAATAATAATCCACTTCTTGAAGCAATACTTGTTGAAAATGCAAGGACAAACAAAAGACTTGCATTTTGCTGCCAAATTTTTGTGGGGCAATTTTAGAAGGATCCAGGACGCTCCGTGCCACCCAAAATCCACCACTCCAGAATTGAGGCTGGGCCGATGGCGTGAGGGTCTAGAAACACCACAGCTGGAACTCTTTGTGAAATTAGTCTTGGGAAGAAGGGATTCATGCGTAATCCATTTTGAAATTAGTCATAAAGGAGTAAAATTAGTATAATAAAATTTCAGCCAGCTTTAGGCATTGGGAGTGGACGGGTGATTTAATGCTAGCTGTTTTCCAAGTTTGTTTTAGTGTGTGGAGCCTCTTAACAGTAAATGAATTCACTGACCTATTTTTCCTTGCCACATTATTATTTCTACAATCACCTTACCAAACACAAAACCACTTCTGTTCATGCTTAACTTTGTCCAGGTCCCAAATACAGCGTTAAAAATGAGGGGACACTAGAAAAGACCACAGTCTGTTGGGTCATCATTTCAGAGTGTGCACAGTATGACTACTATTTTTGAGACAACCCAGGAGCAAAATACAGGACACAGAGGTTTTGTCATTATAAACAGTGGTTTATATACAAGACTTCTATATACAGACATACACATGGTAGGCACATACCAGGCAAGCAATCAATCTTCAACTCTACACAGAGAACTATAATGCAGAGAGACACGAGGAGAGAGAGGCCGTCTCATGGCCTCCCTCATATAGACAGCTTCTTAAAGTGATAACTGCTGATTTATTCTCATTGCATCATCTCGGTTTGCAGCCTTACAGCAGCTGGTCAGCTATTAAAACATTACCTTAACACAGAGATACTTCCTTACCTAAATAAAACAGAATGACCCTAGGAAGGAAAAAGGAAGGGGATTTGATTTCCTGCTGGCTTCTCCATTGATTTTGCTAGTGGAAAATTACCCAGGTAGCACTACAGAGGCTACCATTTTGCCAAAGCAACTGGTCTGAAGATCCTTTCAATGTCAAATCCCAAGGGAGTCATGGATCCAAGATTTTGGACACTTTTTTTTTAAGTTAAGCTATTTTTGAAGCACCTTGATTCAAGAATCGTCCTGCATTGCACTGTTTTCATCCAACAGAAAATCAGGAGAGTTTTAATACTTTATAGATGTTGCCATGCCTTTATAAATGGCGACTGGCAATCTGCAATTATGCACTGAATCTTGCCAATTTCCTATAATTATAGCTTGTACAAATGGAGCACAATACCTTTTTTTAAAAAAAAAAACCCAAAGGAATCAAGAGGGTTTTAAGTGGCAGCTCTGAACAAGAGCCAGTTTAAAATTTTGGATACGACTTGTTTCCGCCTTTAAAAGGTGGAACAATTCAGTTTTATAAGATAGCGTGTGGTGACAAAGCCTTTTGAATGTACAGATTGATTTATTTTTTTAAAAAAAATCTGGAGACCTTGAGGTTAAAAAGTATTAGGAACTTCCAGAAAATTCTCAATTTAAAAGGTTCAAACCTTTTGCTTTAAAACTTGGCCAGAGTTCAAGCAAGCATGAATCCTTAGGATTTCAGGGTTACAAAATCCGTTGTCATTTTCTTAGTGCCGAAAAAAAAAGTGCCATTGTTAGATCTAGCCTGTAATCTAGGTATATTTTCAAGTGGCCCGTCTGAAGGAGTTCCAACCCTGCTTTTCTCTTTGGAAATCGTTTATCTGTCTTTTGATGGACTGGTCAAGAGGTCCGGCAATTGTGATGCATTTTTGCACTTTACAATAGGAGGCAGAGATTAATCTATCCTCCTGTTCTGTCCCCAACTACACGCACACACACCAACAGACGTTCAAGAGTTAAAGACCAAACCAGTCGGCAAAATCCTTTTCCTTATGATAACGGAACTTGGCAACAACCTAGTGGCTGCCTGCCAAGAGTTTATTATTTACGAAGAGGAGAGATAATTTCTCCCCACTCCTGGTACATCAAAAGAAACAGCTCAATAATTACGGAGTCAATCAAGTCCAGAGATAATCCAGCAAAGTCTATAGCAAAAAGTTCGGCAATGCAGAATGGCGTGGAAGCTTTCAGCTTTGTTCGTCACAAGGTTTGACTGGCCACCACGCTCCCTTTTATATCCTGTGGGGTGTGGCCCAGTGACTCAGCCTCGGGCACGCCTTTTCTTCTGTTGAGCGCGCTTATCTCTGCGACGCTGGCGTGGATCCAGCCAAGACTCATTACCCTCATCACTGTCCATCTGTGGCTGCGTAGATGTGCTTGGCCCCGGCCCGATCTCTTGCCCTTCGGCGGACACGGAAGGCATTGCCAAAGAGAAGGGTCCTGGAGAGGGAGGCCTTGCCAACCCCTCTCCTTCACTCTCGGAATCCTCTCCTGCCAATGACACCGGCTCAGGTAACGGAGCCACAACACCTCCAGAGAACTTTCATTTTTAATAGTAAATCTTTGCCAGAATAAAATGTGGATATATTGAAGGATCATCGAGAAAATTTGGTGACCCTGAATGTTAATATCCTAGAATCAAGAATAGCAATGGTGTCAGGGTTCTGACAGATGCCCTAATTAAATCATGAGCCTCGAGCCAAGCTTCAAAAGAAATCCAGGTATTTATTAGGAGCTTCATATCAGTACGTTCCCAAATGAAGCCAACTCTGACCCTACGTAATTTATGGCCCCAATCATGACCCTGTTTCCCCCCTCCCCCCAGGGTGTGTCATCAATCACATTCGCCAATGAAGCAATTTTGTGGGTTGTAGAGATCACTCCCCTCGGCTGCTGTTGGTAAACCTGGGAGACAGCCTTGAGAAAGATACGTCTGGAATGCGCTCCTGTCTTTGGCTGCCGTACTGCAGGCCAGGGATGCTTTGCGAGTTGACAGATGGAGCTTTTCAAGGAGGGTTTTACCTTCCAAAAAATACGAATCTTGTTGAGAAAGGGACAAAGGCACTGATGATGTTACCTGGTTTGGTAATGAAAACGTCTGCAAAAAAAAAAAAACCATTTCGGCGATCTTTAGGGAGTGTTTTTTCAAACTCTTTTCCCAAGGGGCAATTTCTTTTGTCTCCTCTCTTCCTACGCAATGCATCGCTGTTTGAATGCGCTTGGAGATGCTGTTAATGGCATGTCTTTTTTTTCTCTCCCTCTCTCTCAAATGTATTCCCTATTTAAAGGGGGGGAACGAGCTACACCATTTCTGTTTGTTCCCTGACTTTCTTTGCTTTTCTCCCACCCCCCACCCCCACCCCCAAATTGCAACTTGGTAATTGCCTCGGGTTACATTATGAAAAAAAAAAAATAAAGACATTTTCGTCTTGTTTGGAAAAGGATTTTCCTTGCCTCGGATAATAAGGCCTTGTTTATCGGAGAATGAAATGCAGAAAGTTGTTTTTTTGGTTTCTAAAGACAAGAAGGCCCAGAAATACATTCTACTCAGTCCTTATGGGGTGATCGCTGCACAGAAGGGGACGTCACAGGAGACAAACTGCTGATCTT